AAAAAAACCTGGGTCCTTTTTCCAAAATCTGATTACAGCGGGCTCATCTAGGGCCTATTACCTGTCGATTTACCTAAGAATCATGGAAATCGGCCCGGTAGAACGCTCAAACGAACTATGACAAAAAGTATAAATTTACATTGTTTAAATGGGAGAATTCGCAACTTTACCACGTAATATAAAAAAACCTGGGCCATATTTTGAAAATCTGAAAAGAGTTGGCTAATCTATAGACAATTGCCCGTCGATTGCCGCAAAAATCATGCAAATCGGCCCGGTAGAAGGCTGGAACTAAGCGTTACCAGTTACACAAAATTAGGAGGTCTCGGAGCTTATAGTATAGAAGAAGAGAAGAAGAAGGCGCGAAACCAGAATCGCACAGCCCACACTCTGTGAAAACGTGGCTTGATTTTCGTCGTCTTCAATCCGAACACGCGCCTGAAAGGTCGAAAAGAGCGTACAGGAGTAAGGGGTATGGTCGACCTAAACAGTTGTGGGTACTGCAAAGTGCGCATATCGATTGTGAAACTTTCAAACCACGTATTTCGTTCCCGGTATTTAAAAATTTACGCTCGGATCTTAATTTTCTACAAGTGAACGAATCAACATCATTCCTTAGAATGTTCACTGAATTGTCTGCGCATAGAGAAAAAAAAATCATGACAGTTTCTAGAAACAGCCGCTGAGTTTAAAAAATAAAATACCAATTTTTTTTAACAAAAAATAAAATACGACGGGAAGTCTGCAACGTCGCAGACCGAGATACGTAGTTTGGGAGTTTCATCGTCGATAATCCATGTGTCGCAGCGCGGGCGATAGCACGTTTTCTGTAAAAAACGCATGCTTTAGTTTCACGACAGACGCTCGAAACTTAGTGTATGAAATGTTCATTTTCGGGTCCTAAAATTGGGTTTGGATCTGGAGGGCCATCAACCAAACTCTGTGGCAAATTATTGGTCTATCACATGAAAATAGAGACACTCCAGGGCTAACTTGTAAGATTTCTTAAAATAGAATCTTCATTTCCTGTAAGGTAACACAACATTGGTTCGGATCGGCTAGGCAACTAGAGAGTAAAGCGGCAAAGTGTTAAGTGTCGCGGGGATTTCGAGGTACTTTCAGTGGGAATCATGCTTTTGAAGTAAGAATATTACATGATTGTGTGAACGTGTATCAACAGTCGTTTGTAAGTCAGTACACTTTACCATTTTTGTCCCGGAAATCCTTAGGCAGGGTGTCTACTAAAACTGGCTGGTAAAAATTAAGTACTTTTACAATACTTTTTCAGTGCCTCATGAGCAGAAAAAATGTGGTACTTTTTTGGTACCTTTGAGTTGATTGTTGATTTGAGGTCCTATTATTTAATTATATTTCTTACCGCTTGTTTACTTTTCATTCTTATACAAAAATTATCGATTTGCTATATGTGTACGATTCTAGCTTGAACACACTCAAACTATGCGGTCAAAACTGTAATAACGGCAAAGGAAAACCGACAAGGCGAGCGTGGAGGCTACTTTAATAATAATCTGCCATCGCACTGCTACGGCGCGGCGTAACGATACGACTATTCGTACTCTTCGGAATGCGTAAGGTATCACGCCACATTTGAAGGCGTTTCCGAAACTGCCAACTTTCCATTTCGGGATTCTTGCGTGGCATAAAATGGTGGAATGACTCATCTTACGAGTTAGTGCAACAGTTATGCGCACATCTCCTTGTTTTGATTTTTATTTATAGCTTTCGTTCCAGTTGATAATGAGTGTGTAATTTGCTCGGATATGATTTCTTCCTGTTTAAGATTTTCATACACATTTACAACCTGACTGGATGAAAAATTTTTCCAGTAGGCCGATCAATGAAAGTTTAAGGCAGCCAAATAAGACATCGATATGCGCTACATTGTATGGTCAGGATAGATCATTGTCTTGTCTCATTGGTAGGTACGAAGGGTAAATTTTTTTTTTTGCTGATGAATGTGTAGACCGAGGAACTTTCTGCACTTCGGATTCAGTCGAAATTTTCTTTGGATCCTTGACTTTAAGACTTAGCGAGCTTTTACGTTGAGAGCGACCGTCCACGTCAGAAGTGCTCTGAAGGTACCAGGGCACATTTTCGTAAAAAGAACTCGACAGTTCGGAATTTTGGGTTCAGATTGGCGAGCGTCTCCTGCATCCCATAGAATAAGTTATGAGCGGTTGAGAGTATTGTTAAGCTGGCCAAGAGTACACAAATGAACTAGAACTCGACAGTTTTAAATACCGAAAACGAAAAGTGGAAACTCGCGGAAAATTTTTTTCACGACTCTGTTTCATGGATTTCAAACTTGAAGCCATCGTAACTCTAGTTTGGCTTGTAATTTTTTGTTTGAGAACAAATCCTAAGCAGAAGTCTCAATATCTCGACTTCAAAATTCTTTCTCTTCTCCCGTGGATGGTCACGAATATCGTTGTCCCCCGAACAAAAGAACGTAAATGTGTTTCGAAGTTGCCAAATTCACTCGGAAATTGAATAATTAAAAGGAAAATCTAGAGCGTTTGGAACTGAAAATTTCACCGATTCAGCCTACCTTTCAAAAATCATCTACGTTTCGGAGAGGTCTGCAGGGATCTCGCGGAGAGAGCGCGTTCGTAATGAACGAGTGCGTGAAATAATGGGAGTTGAGGAAGATATTGTGCACGATATCAAAACCAGGCAGCTGGTTTGGTATGGACATGTGCGGAGAATGGCAGATAGTAGGTTGCCAAGAAAGGTATTTGATTGGGTTCCTCCCGGAAGAAGGCGGCGTGGACGTCCAGTAAAAGGTTGCCGAGAGGGAGTGGAGGGGGAGATCAGACGGTGTAATCTGCCCGATGATTTGTGGGAGGATCGATTCCGATGGCGATTTGGAGTCGCAGAGCGCTCTAGTGCGCTGAGGTAGCGGCTTGATATGTATGTATCTACGTTTCGGACACAAAGTATCTAGCTCATATTCATGGTGGAGTTAATTTTGTGACCTTGGAATCAAGTTACGTTCCTTCATCTGTGAAACGACGATAAAGGAAGGAAATTATGTGAGATCTTACCTCCGTTTTCACCTGGAACAAGGACGGGGCAGAACGACTCGAACTCGGGGCAGAATCCGACGTTTTCAAATGATAGCGCACGAGCACTGGATCGAGTCCTTCCAGCAGGACAACCGGATTTTTCCGCCTGTTCGAATTTCGACCGCTGATTATTTGATGAGTACCTAACAAGATGAAACAAAAAGAAATTGACAGGTGAATATGGCACAACGAAAGTATCATTGACTTTTCTAAACCGATACAAATCACTGGCATGTCGCGCTTTGCAATGAATCAATTGATCTGCCCTTTAAACCTATGGAAAAAAGATCGATAAACAGGGTTTTCGCAACGTGCACCCTAAAAATCGATTCTTAAGGTGATTCGATGGACGCCATATTTTGTTTCAGAACGGCATGCGATATATCGCATCATTTGGTTCCATATTTTCAGCTCCTCGTCATTTTTCTCCTATTTTGAGATCGCACTTCTGTTGTCAGGAGTCTAAAGCACTCACTTACCAATTTTAACAAAGAAATTCAACGTAATAAAGGCGTGGTTTTTTCAGAGAGAAAACATCGCATTCGATACTGATATCGAAACTGTACTCGAATGCGATATTGTCTCTCTGAAAAAACCACGCCTTTATTACGTTGAATTTCTTTGTTAAAATTGGTAAGTGAGTGCTTTAGACTCCTGACAACAGAAGTGCGATCTCAAAATAGGAGAAAAATGACGAGTAGCTGAAAATATGGAACAAATTGATGCGATATATCGCATGCCGTTCTGACACAACATATGGCGTCCATCGAATCACCTTAACCGATTTTCAAACGGGCAAATATAGATTATCGATCATTCACGCCTCGGCACTGACACAAATGCAACTAAAAAGAATATTGAAACACCACGATATATGCTCCCTCGTAAAATATTTCACATAGAACTTGTTAAAATTGTCACATAGAACTTGTCTAATTTCAGCGATCAACTTATTAGAATAAGTAAAGAGTCTGTTAAGAAAGTGCGCCTACTAGGAGGAACTCAGAGATTCTTTCAAACGAGGCCTGAACAAAACCTCATGATGAAAGAATCCTCCAGTGAAAGCATTCAAAGCTCGTTTTGTCAATACAATGTTGCAAAGGTTACATCTTTACCATTGAAAGATGTTGTTATTTTGAAGCTCCTCGTTTTAAAATACAAATTTAGTTGAACAATAATTTCTATAATTGGAGGCACAATAACATCAACGGATGCTACTGTGCCTCAGAAAATGAAAAAATATCAGCAGACTGTGTTTTTTCAACCAAACAGCTTCCCAATGTTGGCATTTCTCAATGGTGAAAATGTAATCTTGGCAACGCTGTACTGCCGCAACGAGCTTTGAACGTAAGCCAGGGTGTCTACTGAGGTCCACAAAAATAAAATAAGTACTTTTTCAGTACTTTTTAGGTATTTAAGGAAAAATTTAAGTACCTCGCCTTGGGGAAAAATTAAGTACTTTTTCAGTACCTTTTCGATATGTATCGCAATTCTTCGATTTTGGCACTGTCGCGCGCTTAACTTCGGCTATTCCCGTGGCCTTTTCGGCTGTTTTCGTCAAATCTAGGGAGATGCCTTATTCCGCTCCTCTACAACAACCACGCTCTTTCGGGCTGACATTGCACTAATACGCTTGACGAACAACGCACAGAGGGTTGCATGACTATCAGGCGACCGAACTGAACGCGCAGCGCAAAATGCGAAAAATTACAGACCTTCCGCGAGATTTACATACTATTAAGGTACTTACGGACCGACCTTAAAAAATGCGTACTTTTTCCGGACTTTACGGACTGGTAGACACCCTGATAAGCTCAAACTTTCACTGGAGAACTGTCTCATCATAAGGGTTCATTTCGGTATCATTTGAACGAAATCCCTGAGTTCCCCCAAAAAGGGGCACGAACAGGCCTTTTTTCTTGACAAGTTCTTGGACCTCCCCACTCTTCCGTGCCTTGATGGTATGGTGAAACTTCATAGTGGCTGGCAAAATTTAATTTTTCATTCCCTGACCTTCCCCTGACTTTTCCTGATAAAATTCCCACACTTCTTTACGATGATGTAAGGGCAGTCAATTAATGAGGTTGAAACGTTGGCACAACATCGCGATCGGCTGACTCGTCGCGGACCCGATGTTTTACACAAAAAATTCCCTGATCGTTGACGAAATTCCCTGACTTTCCCCGATCGAGTTGTATTCCTTGACTTTCCTCGGTATTCCCGGTCGCTCGCCACCCTCACTGAAAAAAAAGTCTCGGCGTTTTTACCAAGGTCCGTTGGTACCTTTACCATCTCACTTTTTTTTACCAACTTTTTGGTAATTTTACCAAGACAGACTGGTAAGCTTACTTAAAAACCGGTATTTTTACTGTTTTTTTAGGTAAGAATACCACTTTTATTGGTAATCAATTCCCGGTAACTTTACCATTTTACCTCGGTAATTCTACCACAGTCAATAAAAAATATTGGCGTTTTTTACCAAGGTCCGGTAAAATTACCGAGAAAGTTCACTAATTTTACCAAGATTCTTGGTAAAATTACCAATTCCATAAATGGTAATTTTAACCAAGAAAAAACTGGGATCAAATAGAACCCTGAATTCTTGGTAATTTTACCCTTTTCTTAGTAAATACATCGAGATTTGTTTTTCAGTGCTGTGAAAGCTCCGTATGGGCCTCCAGGCGTTGTCAAATTTCCATTGATAAAAACGATTTTGCAGGGAAATTTCGGAATAGTTTTCGTCCAATTCCTCGGGTAGTTTTGCTTGCAATTTGACCTAAAAAGTTTGAAAATTTCAAGGACAAATATTGACAAATGCACGGAAATGTGTGTATATTCTTTTCCCAATATTTCCGGGCCGGAATTGTAATCGAAATTTAACCTGAAAATTCCAAGGAATAACACATACATTTTCTTTTAAAGAAAATTTAATTGGAGGAAATTTAGCAACATCCAGGTAGGTACTCATACGTCGTTTTTTCTTGGTACGGCATCTTTAAGGTGTGTGACCGCCATTTGCCACATTTTTTCATCGCATTCGAGCGTGGGTGACTAAAACTTACGGATAAATCAAATCTTAAACTGTCGGCGACTTACCGTCTTCTTTAGATTTGCTCGTGACGGTTTCGTCCGGATGATTGATTTCCGGTCTTGAATTGGACGGCTCGTTCGTTGACAATCCGACGTCCGATTCTTGTTTCGGGACCAAACGAAGGATAGCGCTCTTGCTGACGAGCTCTGAAAAATATTACAGAAGTCTTTACATTTGCGTTAATCTTTACATCCGACATTTTGCGGCGAGAAACTCCTATTTTTGTCTCATTATAGAATGAACGTGTTTGTCATTAGTTTTCCTTTGCAGGTGAGCGCTTCTATGAACTGAGTCCCTTTATACTGAGAGTCAAGACAATGTGAATCCATTTCTGATTGGTTCCCGTATTTTAGGCCTTCACAGTGTCACAAGCGGGAATAAAGATTACATTTTCACCGATTGCAAATATTATAATCAGGAATGGACCAGGGAATTACGGGTTCGGCAAGGAACAAATGGAATGAGAGAAGGAACGGAGAAAGGAATTTAAGAATGGGCCGATCAAAGATTACAAAGAGCGTTCAATATCTGTAATCTTTATTCCCGTTTGTGACTCCATGAGGGGTGTTGTCTTGACTCTCAGTATAAAGGGACTCTACTATGAACGAGTCATCAGGAATTATGTTCCCATTGCAAAATGAGGTTCATCTATAAAATAACTCTTTCCGTGCATCATTGATAGCTCTTCTTTCGCGCTTTCGGTTTCTGATCGTTAAATTAGTTTTGAGACAACCTATAGATAAATGGCAGCGGCACTATTACTAGAAACAAAGAGAAAAAGCAAAGGAAAAACGACCAAAAGCTGTCGTATTTTTCGCAAGTAGTTTTAAGCGTGCCAGTAGGGCTCGCTTTTTGAAATCACTCGGATGTACCATAGTACAGCACACCGATCAACCAATGCTATTCAACGGGCCGTCCAAATATTTTTTTCCTCGGACCCGTTTTCTTGTCTTTGAACCATTATACTGTCAAGCCCTGATGGTCTCTTACCAAAAAACCGAATGAACTGCTAATTGGGAACCCTTGAGAACATTTTCCTGTCAAAACCGTATTATTTCATTTGACAAAAACCTCATAGTAGCTTTCTTACGCTCGGAGGACTCAACTCTAGAACCTTCTTTCCCGCCAAAACTGTTTAGCCAATGAACATCTTGCAATGCAAGTGCAATCTGTGATGAGCCTCGTGACTCTTTATACCATGTACTAACCGTGGCCCCTGCAGAAATCCACTCAAACCACTGCAGTTATCTCCCGATATAGCTTTGGGTGTCAGGTTTCGAGCAAGGCAATAAAAAACGGCGAGGAGAGGGTCGCCTCGTCGAACCTATTATCTTCCACGCCCGATTAACCATTCACCGTGACGCCAGGATCCACCAAATTTTCACAAAAATTGTTTTCCGTCTATTTAGCGAGTTTTTCCTTACTTTCCGTTAAAGTACAAATTAAAAGAGACCTCATTTGTAAAAATCGGCCGAATAGGAGGGAAGTTACAGTTCGAAATCCAAAGAGATTAACTCAACGCGATTTCGATGCACGGCAGTTCGCCCAAATCACGGTCGTGCGAAATGCCGCATATCAGCTTAAAATCAAGATAATTGGACGGAATCTTTAAAATCAATTTACATTCAACGTTCATGAATCAATATTTTCTCCCAAATTTAGCAAAAAGTACCAATTGATGCAAATAACTAAGACGTGAAAATAGTAGGTATGTGTCCAACATTTTAGTTATTCGGCACGCTTTTCCAACATATTCATGTTGGATTTTTCTGCTTGTTTTTATTTAAACTTCATAGCATGCGTCAAAAATATTTTAGATCCACGGACTTTTTGCAAAATTCACTTTTTTCCGTTTTCTGGATTGTTTTTCTTTCATAATCGGACTTGAGTGCTTTTTGAAACAAACAATTCGGTTACCTGTGAGCGGATTTTCATCTTCCTCTGCTTCTTCTACTTTTATACGCGGCAGCAGTGATGAAGTCACGTATTTCCGTTCAAGAGGAGCAGATT